CTGCTGCTGCTATTGCTGCTGCATGCATGCAGGCTCCGAGAAAGACAGCCAGCAGCCCGTGAGAGGCGCAGCAAACGATTAAGAAATACTGTGCTGCAGCAGCTTCTATAGCTGCTGGAGCTGCTGGAGCTGCTGGAGCTGCTGGAGCAGGGCGAGTTGAGGGTTGTTATCGGTGTTGCTGCAGCAGCAGCAGCAGCAGCAGCATCAAAACTAGAAGCAGCAAGGCTGCTGCTGTTCGCGAGCAGCAGCGGCGATATATGCGTATGCAGACGGCGGCAGACGATAGACAGCGGTAACAACACGGGGGTCGGAACCCAGCAGCAAAGGCAGCAGCAGCAGCAGCAGTAGCTGCTGCTGCTGCTGCTGCTGCTGCAGCGGAGAGGGATATAACAGCAGCGGCTAATCACGCCCCTGCGCTGTCTTTATAAAGAGTTGCTGATTTTCTTCTAATTAAAAGAAAACTGCTAAAGTTCTCTTTGTACTGGAGAGCCCCGCGGGCTGCTGCAGAGGCCAACGGCAGCCGCAGCAGCAGCAGCAGCAGCAGCAGCAGCAGCAGCTGCACGCAGGCTGTTCACTTTAAAGGCTTATTAAGTAGACGAAAGATTTATAGGTTAGGGAAGAGGTAAAAAACAACAAAAATAAAACAGTTTGCATCATACAACTACAAAACAAGGGCCCCAGGCCTCCCTGTCCTCATCCCTTACAGCAGCAGCAGCAGCAGCAGCAGCAGCAGCAGCAGCAGCAGCAGCAGTAAGTACATGCAGTGTCGCTGGAGCAAGCAGCAGGGGGGCCGCTGACGCTTTTGTTTTTAAGAGTTTGATTTCTCTAATTAAAAATATCTTTAAAGTATAGTTTTAAATGCATTTATATTATATTTAATTATAATAAAACATAAATATTTAGCTGCTGCCGATGCTATTCAGGTGTACAGACAGCTCAGCTTAAGACAGGCCTGCGTTTCCCCTGGTGTACGCGTCTGAAAGAAGAATATTGATAGACAATTAATTAATTAATTAATTAATTAAAATAATTATTTAATTAATTCTTTTATTTTTAAAAGTCTTCTCTTGTGCCTTAGCTGTCAACTGCAAGCAGCTGAGCTGCTCCCTGCTGTTGCTGCTGCTGCTGCTGCTGCTGCCGTTGCTGCTGCTGCTGCTGCTACTGAGACACCCTTCCGGTGTACAGACATTGCAGCTGCATGCAGCGAATTTAGCTGTCTTGTTGTTGCTGCTGCTGCTGCTGGCTTTGTACCTCTTTCTACACCAGCAGCAGCTAACAATACACCTGGTTGCTGCACGCCCTCAGCTAAAAAGCAGCAACAGATTCTCCTCGGTGCTGCTGCTTTAAATGCTGCAGCATCTGCAGCAACCAGCAGCAAGAGCTGCTGACTCCTTCCCTCCTGTCTAGGCTCCAAGGCACCTTGTATAGCAGTAGCAGCAGCAGCAGCAGCAAATATCTCCAGCAGCAAAATAGGCTGTAGCTTTGTCCTAAAGACACACAGGAAGCTGCTGCTGCTGCTGCAGCTTCTAAAGGCTTTTAAATGCATGCACGGGAGCCGTTGTTCTATATATTGAGCTGTCTGTAGGCCGAGGCAGACACAAAATTCTTTTTTGCGTCTCTTCATTGATTTTAGTGTCTCCTCGGTGCCTCAAAGCCCTCACCAAATGAAAACAAATGCAGCTGCAGCAGCTGCTGCTGCTGCAGCTGCTGCAGCTCCTGCTGCTGCAGCAGCAGCAGCTGTTGCTGCTGCTTCTACTGTTGCTGCTGCTTTATACAGCGGGCAGACAATACATGCAGTCGCCAGTTAGCAGCAACGCCGCAGAGCAACCGTCTACAAACCAGGCCCTATAGCTAGCTAGCTAGCTAGCTAGCTAGATACATAGATAGATAGATAGATAGCTAACCATCAGTTGTTGCTGACAGCTCACTGCTCCACTCCTCGAGATGCAGCGCCAGTCGCAGCAAACGCCCGATGCGCCATTCTTGCTGCTGCTGCTGCTGCTGCTGCTGCTGCTGCTTTTGTTGCTGCTGATCTGCTTCCGCTAGCCAGGCGTCTAGAGCTTGTCGCTGCAGCGGGTGTTGCTGCGGTAGCTGCAGACGCGAGAGCAGCAAAGCAAATGCTGCTAACTTCGAGTGTATGTACAGCTCAACCGCTTCCCTCACCAAGCCACACACCAGCAGCAGCGCCGCACGCATGTGGGCAGATGCACCCCGCCTGCATTCAAATGCAGCAGCAGCAGCAGCAGCAGCAAGAACAAATGACGTTGCTGCTGCTGCAGCTGGTCTAGAAACTGCAGCAGCTGCTGCAGTTTCTAGACCAGCAGCCGTAGCTATTGCAGAAGCAGCAGCACGAACTACATAGCAGCAGCAGTAGCCGTAGGAGCAGCAGCAGAAGCAGCAGCAGTAACAATAGCAGCATTACACCCTCGCTAGCTGTCTGCTCAGCAGCAGCAACAGCAGCAGCAGCAGCAACAGCATCAGCAGCAGCAAAGCGCATGCACTCTGACCTCTCAGCAGAAAGGAAGCTGCCCACCAGAGCAACACGCGCTGTGGGGCTGAGGCCAGCAGCAGCAGCAACAGCAAACCAGAACCAGCTGCAGCAGCAGCAAGTCTCTCTTCTGCTGCTGCTGCTGCAGTTGTTTTTGGTTTGCTGCTGCTGCTGCTGCTCCCAAGGCAGCTGCTGGTACAGCTGAAGAGCCGCCTGGGGGCCCCACAGCCACAGGGCTGCTAACCGCAGCGCGAAGTCTCCCGGTGGGCCCTGAGCAGCAGCAGCAGCAGCAGCAGCAACAGCAGCAACATAAGAGCAGGACACACAAAGGAAAAGCAGAGCCGTGCTGGTATCTAAACTGCTGCTGCAGGTACTGCCCCTGCAGCAGCTGCTGCTGTGCTGCTGCTGCTGCTGTCGCTGTTGGTGCTGCTGCTGCTGCTGCTGTGCATTTGTAACGAACCCCCTTGGGGTCTCCTAAGAGAGACGGAAGAGAGGCCTCAGCAGCAGCTCTCGCGTCTGGTCGCTGGTCACCCAACAGGAACAGCAGCAGCAAAGCGTTGTGCTGCTGCTGCTGTTCCTGCTGCTGCTGCTGCTGCTGTAGCAGCTTGCTCATAACGTAATCCGTGGCTGTCTCCACTGCTGCCTCGCTGAAGCTGTCTGCTCTCAGTCTGCTGCACTGCTGCTGCAGCTCCTGAGACGCACCGCCGCAGCTGCACCAGCTTTCCTTCGGGAGTGCAGCAGCAGCAGCAGCAGTTGAAGCAGCAGAGCTCGCAGCAGCCGCGTCTGCTGCTGCTGCTGCTTTCACCACTGCACTTCTGTCTCCATCTGGACTTTGTATGGAGGAGGCAGCCGTCTCCTCGTCGGCAGGATGCACTGCTGCTGCTGTTGCTGCTCCTGCTGCTGCTGCTGTTGCTGTTGCTGCTGTTGGTGTACCTGCAGGTACGTCGCTGCTTGCTGCCTGGCTAGTCGGCAGACGCCCTCTATCCAGCTGCTGCTGCGCTGCTGCTTTCGTTTGCATCGCCTTCGCTGTTCCTGTTGCTGCTGCTGCTGCTGCTGCTGAGGCTTTGCTGCTGAGGGGAGGGTAAAGGGGCAGGCGGAAGGGGTCCCATAGAAAGACACACTGCTCAACGCCGCCTGTAAATACAGCAGCAGCAGCAGCAGCAGCAACAGCAACAGCAGCAGCAGCAGCAACAGCAGCAGCAGAATCAATAGACAAAGCACTCCAGAGATGACAGGAGGACGCGTCTGTACACCCCAACTCTGTTGCTGCTGCTACTGCTGCCGCCGCAGACCTCTACCTGGAAACTGCAGCAGTAGCAGCAGCAGCAGCAGCAGTAAGAAAACAGCAGCAGTAGCAGCAGTAATAAAGCAGCAGCAAGAACACTAATAAAGCAGCAGCAGTAGCAGCAGGGATAGAAGGGAAGAGGGGCTGAGTGCATGCATTTCAGGTGTCTGTACAGCTCACCCACTAACAGCAGCACGGCATAGGGGACAAGCTGCTCGACCCAGCAGCACCGCAGCAGCTGCCCACCGCTTTGCAATTGCTGCTGCAGCTGCTGCTGCTGTTGCTGTTGCTCTAGAGACGATGAGGAGCAGCTGCGGAGGCAGGCGAGGGGTGATGCTGTGGGCTTGACACGCCGCAGCTGCTGCAGCAGCCCTAAGGGCCCCCTCTGCTGCTGCTGCTGCTGCTGCAGGTTTGCGTCTGCGTCCTCTTCTCTACCAGCCGCAGCACAAAGCCGCACTGCAACAACAGCAACAGCACCACCTGCACAAGTGGCAGCAAGAAGAATCTCCTGCTGCTGCAGCCCTGCTGCTGCTGCTGCTGCATCTCGTCTCCACCGTACTGTCCACGCCAAGCTAGTCAAGCCCCAGTTGCTGCTGCTGCTGCTGCTTTTTTGCTGCTGCTGCTGTTGCTGCTGCTGCGTCGGGAGGGGGTAGCTGCTTAGAGCTGGGGTCGCCAAGGCAGCTGCTGCTGCAGCGTGAGCAGCAATGCTGCTGTAGCTGCAGCAGCAGATTTCCATAAGAGTTCGCGCCTCTGCTGCAGCACGAAGAGGCGTCCCGTGCTGCTGCTGCTGCTGCAGCAACAGCAGCAACGCCAGTATATCACCCCACGCAGCTAACCAAAGGCCTCCATCAGCGTCTCCTACAGCCAGCAGCGCTTCTGCTGCTGAGACGTCGCCGGCAGCACCGGCTGCTGCTGCTGTTGCTGCTGCTGCTGCACCCTCCGCGCTCCCTGCAGCAAAACTCCAGCAACCAGCACTGCTGCTGCCGCTGCTGCTGCTGCCTTCCCAAGCAGCTGCTGCTGTGGGTTTGCTGCTGAGAGGGAGGGGCAGTCGACCCAGAGACACGAAGGCAACAGGGGATGATGTCGCTGCGCTGCTGCTGCTGCTGCTGCTGCCGTTGCTGCTGCTGTTGCTGCTGCTGCTGAAACGATGCGGTGGCACTACCGGTGCCATTACGTGCAGGTAGACTTGAGCCTGCTTATTCTGCTGCTGCTGTTGTTGTTGCTGCTGCTGCTGCTGCACGGGCATACAATCCAAGACACAGAGAAGCTGGGCATCTGCTGCTGCTGCAGCAGCAGCAGCAGCAGATGCCGCCTCGGGTTCATGCCCCAGTGCTTCTGCTGCAGCAGCAACGTGCTGCTGCAGTGCTGCTGCTGCTGCAGCTGGGAGAGCTGCTGGCACGGAGACAGCTAACGGCAGCAACCCAGACAGCTGCTCCACGTGGGTAGTCCGCTCTGCAGCAGCAGCAGCAGCAGGGGTTGTTGCTGCTGTTGCTGCACTTGCTGTTACATCTCCTTGCTTCACAGTTAAGACTGTGGGGCTGAAGCTTTGTCCCTCTTGCTGGTGTTGCTGCAGTTGCTGCTGCTGATCTTGCCGCCGCCACTGCTGCTGCTGCTGCTGCTGCTGCTGGGAGCGCGAAGCTGCTGTAGCTGACTGAGCAGCAAGTACTTGACCTGCTGCAGTTGCTGCGAGCAGCAACCATCTCTGCTGCTGCTGCTGCCGCTTTTGCTGCTGCCCCTCTGTAGGAAACAAACTCCCGCCCTTCTGCATCTCTGCTTGCTGCTGCTGCTGCTGCTGCTGCAGGTCGCCATCTGTCTCCCCAGCAGCCCGTCTGTCTCCCATATCCTCACCGTTGCCGCTGCTGCAGTTGCTGCTGCTGTCGTTGCTGCTGCCGTTGTTGCTGTTGCTGTTGCTGCTGCTGCGGTTGCTGTTGCAGCAGCTACCGCAGCAAGGAGGAAGCTTAATCCAGCAGAGTTCTGTAGCAGCAGCGAGAAGGGCCTGTCTGGCTGAGAACAGCGTGACAGCCCGTTGCTGCTGCTGCTGCTGCTGCTGCTGCATGCCTTCTTGTGTCTCCTGCTGCATCAATCCGAAGTGGCCGTCTCCTAAACCAAACGCAACAAGACCTGCAGCTGTGGGGTGTACATACACCGCAGTAACAGCAGCCTGCAGATCGCGCCAATATAAAGTAGAAGAGAAGGGCTTGCATAGCCCTAGAGAATCAACAGACACTTGCTGCTGCTGCTGCTGTTGCTGCTGCTCCAGCTGCATTTGCTGCTGCTCCTGCTGCTCATTCTGCGGAGGCAAAGGAGGCAGTACGTGGGGAAACGGCAGCAGTTGCTGCTGCTGCTGCTGCTGCTGCAGCAGTGGTGCAGCACCCTCCTGCGCTGCTGCTGCTGCTTCTGCAGCAGCAGCAGCAATCCTTGGGGAGAGGAGGTAGCCGTGGGGGTCTATGAGAGGCAGCAGCGGCTGCCGCTGCAGCAGCTGCTGCAGCAGCTGATCTACAGCAGCAGACACATCAGCAACACGAATTGTTGTGTCTCCGCATGCAACGGAGACACAAGAGGGGTCCAGAGGAGACGCTGAAAGAGACTGCACCCAGCCGCCTAGACACCCCAGCTTCCATAGCAAGCATGCCTTCGCATTCACACCTGCTGCTGCTGCTGCTGCTGCTGCTGTTGCTGCTGCTGGTGCAGGTGTTGTTGTTGTTGTTGCTGCTGTTGCAGCTGCTGCAGTCTCGGCAGCAGCTGGTGGTGCCGCTGCTCCGTCTGCTGCTGATTCTGCTGCTGCTGAGCTGCTGCCACGAACTCCATCTGGAGTTTCTGCTGCTGCTGCTGCTGTTGCTGCTGCCGCTGCTGTTGTCGCTGTTTCCTCGGCTGCTGTTGCTTCTGTTGAAGCTTCATTTGCTGCCTGAGCAGCAGCAGGAGCTGCTGCTGCTGCTGCTGCTGCTGCTGCTGATGTCTCTTGAGGAGACAGCAGCGGTAGGGCGGAGAGCACCAGCTGTCTGTCCAGGCTTGTCGTGAGTACAAGCAAATGAGGAGCAGCAGCAGCAAGAGCATCTCCTTCTGCTGCTGCTGCTGCTGTTGCCCTTGGTGCTGCCTCGGGGGTGTCTGGCCACCTAGCAGCAGGGGGGCCCCCTGCAGCAGCAACAGCAGCAGCAAAGCAGCAGATTGAAAAGATGGGTCGCGTGTGCGGCTGCAGCAGTCGCGTAAGTTGCTGTTGCTGCTGCTGCTGCTTCTGCTGTTGCTGCGGGCGCTTCTTCTTCCCGCCTTTAGGCTGGGGCAGCAGCAGCAGTTGCTGCTGCTGCTGCGCATCTGCTAACGCCTGCTGCAGATGGAGACACAAGAGCTCGCCTACGAGAGACCCCAGAAGGAGACAATTTGGTGCTGCTGGATGCCACCCCACAGACAACCACAGCCTGCTGGTGTTCTGCTGCAGCCGCTGCTGCTGCTGCTGCTGCTTGCTGCTCCCTTTGCCGCTACTCGGGGCCGCCGCCTCTGCAGCAGCTAGACGCATTTGCAGCAACACAGCACCCCCAGCAGCAGCAGCAGCAGCAGGAGACAGCTGCCACAGCAGCAGCTCCTGGCTGCGCGAAGCCGACGCCAGCAGCCACCCCTGAGCTGCTGCTGCTGCTTCAGCCCCCGCATGCACATCCACCAATGAATCCTGCAGCTGCAACTGCTGCTGCTGCTGCTGCTGCTGCTGCTGCAGGCAGGGCCTTATGAAGCAGAGACTCGTTACGCGATCCATATGTCTCCCCAGGCTCCGCAGCACTTGCTGCTGCAGCACATCCACCAGCAGCAAAGCCCCTCCTTCGTATCCAACAGCAGCAAGAACGCTGCAGCAGCAGCCACTGCTATTGGTGTTGCTGCTGCTGTTGCTGCTGCTGCTGTTGCTACTGCTGCTGCTGCTGTCTTCACGAATCTCCCCTGGTTCCTCTTCATCGTCTGTCTCCTGCTGCTGCATTGGCTCTGCAGCAGCAGCAGCAACAGGGCTGTTGCTGCTGTCGTTTGCTGCTGCTGCTGCTGTTGCTGCTGCTGCTGCAGCAGTAGCGGCAGCACGGCAGTGCCAAGGAGCACGCGCAGCGCAGCAGCTGCCAGAGTTTCCGCTGCTGCTGCTGTTGCTGCTGCTGCTGCTGCAGCAGCTGCCTTTCGCGTATAGCAGCGCTATCTCAACTATTTTCTGCTGCAGCGGCTGCATCGCTGCTGCTTGCACTTTGGGTTTTGCTGCTGCTTCGTCTCCTCGATAAAAGGAGACAGTCCCTTCGTGCTGCCAGAAGACAATCTTACCCCGTGCGTCTCCACTGGCGCACAGCAGCCACATCCCACCCTCTTCTGCTGCTGCTGCTGCTGCTGGTGCTGCTGCTGCTGCTGCTGCTGGTGCTGCTGCTGCTGCTGCTGGCAGCAAACAACCCCCGCAAGCTGCTAAGGCCTCCGGCTCCCCTAGATGCTGTCTATGCATTGACACTGCAGCAGCACGGGGCATGACTCCACTGATACGCTGCTGCTGCTGCTGCTGCTGCTGCTGTTGTTGCTGTTGCTGCTGCGGTTGGACCTGCAGCAGGTTTAGCGTTTGCTGCTGCAGACGCCACAGCCTCACCGTGCGGTCTGCATGCGCGCTGAAGAAGAGGCTGCCCATACACTCGAAATTCAAGCACACACGCCTCCCCAGAAACCTGCTGCTGCTGCTGCAGCTGCTGCAGCTGCTGCTGTTGCTGCTGCTGCTGCTGCTGCCATTGCTGGAGCAGCCGGAGGTGGAGCTGTTGCTGGTGGGTGTGGTACCTGGAGCAGCAGCAGGAAGAGCAGCAGCAGCTGGTGGTGCTGCTGCTGCTGTTGCTGCTGCTGCTGCTGCTGCTGTAAGGACCCAGGAGACAGCGAGAGGCTTCGCCTTAGTGCCGCAATCGAGGAGAGACAGTGGGGCGCCCTGCTGCAGCTGCAGCAGCAGCAGCAGCGACTTCGTTACCAGGAGACAGTCCCCTGTGAGAGCGTTGCTGCTGCTGCTGCCGCTGCAATGCCATCGGGTAGATGCAGGCAGCACGCACTGAAGGGCCCCTGCGGAAGACACGACTTGCTGCTGCTGCTGTTGCTGCTGCTGCTGCTGCTGCTGCTGCTGCAGTAGAGGGTCGCATAGCTCCTGTTGCGGGTGTTGCTGCTGCTGCTGAAGCTCGCCGTGCTGCAGCTGCTGCGCATCTTGCTGCTGTTGCTGCTGCTGCTGCCGCAGAATCCGCCGCAGCAGCTCCTGCTGCTCCCGCAGCAGCAGCAACTCAGGGTCTTCAGTTTGCTGCTGCTGCCTTCCTTCTCCTGGGGCCTCCATAGCGAGAAAAAACAGCAAAAAATAACAAAGAAGAAGCAGACATCGGTCGTGGGCCCCTACAAGGGGCCCTGTGCGGCCTCTTCCAGCTGCTGCTGTTGCTGCTGCTGCTGTTGCTGCTGCTGCTGCCGTAGCCAACACAGCAGCTAAAACGCAAAAAAGAAGCGCCACAGACTGTTTATTATATACCTTGAATTCAGCAGCAGCTGCAATAAAGAAACATGCGAAGACAATAGCAGCACGGGGCCCCCGGTGTATCTCGAGCAGCAGCAGCAGCAGCAGCGGCTGCTGCTGCTGCTGCTGCTTCGTCGATGGGGGGCGAGGGCCCCCCCGACCCCCCATCACCAGCAACAACTCCTGCAGCACGTGGCTCTAGTTTCGTTGTTTTTTGTGTCTTATGGGAGACATACACAGCAGCAGCAGCAGCAGCAACAGCAACAGCAGCAGCAGCAGCAGCAGCAGCTGAACGTCTCCAGGCTCCGCCCCCCCGCAGCAGCCGTTGTGTCCCCCTCATCCTCGCCCCCCACCTGCAGCTGTCCGTACACTGCGAGTTGCTGCAGAGACAGCAGCAAACCGGAGTTGGTGCAGCAAAAAGTGCAGCAGCAGCAGCAGCAGCAGCAAAACGTCTCCTTCCTCATCCCTCGGCCTTATGACTCTACCACAACCAGCGGCGGCGGAAGCAGCAGCAGCAGCTGCTGCTGCTGCTGCACCTCCAGCTACAGCAGCACCAACAGCTAGTCAGGAGGAGCGCGCTTTGCAGCGGGAAGCAGCAGCAGAAATTGCTGCTGCTGCTGCAGGCGACGGCCCGCTGCTGCAGCAGAAGGACCTGGAGCTGCTGCAGCAGCTACCCATCACCGAGGAGCTGCAGCAACTGCTGCTGCAGCGCCAGCCTCTGTTCGAGCTGGCAGCAGCACAGGACGTCTCAGGAGTGGTGCAGCAGCAGCACGTCGGTGCTGCCGGCAGCAGCAGCAGCAGCAGCAGCAGCAAGTGGGGCTTCTGGGGCATCCCTAGGGCGCTGTCAAAAGGCCTTCGGCACGTCGGATCGCTGCTGCGTCTAAGCCGCAGCAGCTCAGCAGCAGCAGCAGCAGCAGCAGAAGATGCGTTGGCGTGGGCCCCCCGCCGCGGTCTGCTGCTCGGGTGTACAGACACCCCAACGCTCAGCTTAAGAACAGAGCAGTCGCTGCCGCAGCATTTGCTTCCTCCGCAGCTGAGGGCTCTGCAGCAGCAACCTGTGCTGCTTGCTGCAGCAGCAGGCGACTTCTCTTTGCTGCTGCCGGTCTTCAAGGCCTGGTGGCAGGCGTGGGAGCAGCAGCAGCAGCAGCAGCAGCAGCAGCAGCCATGTCTCTGCAGCATGAAGAGAGCAGCAGAAGAAGAGACACCAAACTCCGAGAGTACGATGCCTTCCAGCGACGACAGCCCCAGCAGCAGCAGCCCCAGCAGCAGCAGCAGCAGCAGCAGCAGCAGCAGCAGCACCAACAGCAGCAGCAGCAGCGCGCCGGTGCGGCTGCAGCCTGTGGCCGACTACAGGGGTTTGCTGCTGGACTTGAGCTGCAGAGCAGAGGGTCAGCAGGAAGCTGTCTCCTCAACTAGGCTGGTGTCTCTGCCTTCTTCGGGGGGACGCCTCAGCCTCTCGCTGCAGCAGCTAGCGCAGCTAGCCGTCCTCTCCCAGTGTCATATATTAACTTCTCCTGTACACAACCAGCAGCAGCAGCAGCAGCAGCAGCATCAGGGAAGGAAGGCTCAGAGAAAGGCAGCAGTTTTGTCTCTTAAAGCATTACTGGGGCTTGTCGATGCAGTTGTCGGTGAGGCGCAGCAGCAGCTGCAGCGCATGCGCTGCTGCAGCAGCAGCAACAGCAGCAGCAGCACCAACAGCAGCAACAACAGCGCGGGGGATGTCTGTCGATGCACCGGGCCCTGCTGCATGCGACAGCTTCCTTCCGTCTACGGGCAGCCGCATCGCCAGCAGCAGCAGCAGCAGCAGCAGCAGCAGTTCCCTCTTGTACCTGTACCGCACTTGGTGGCTCAGCTGCGGTGTACAGACAGCGTAGAGTGTGTACGTGCTGCTGCTGCTGCTCTGCAGCAAATAATTGCTGCTGCTCCTGCTTACCTCATTGGGGGCCTTCACTTGTCTGGTGCATGCGAAGCAGCACGCCCTTTGCTGCAGAGGAGACAGTTGGTTGCAGCAGTAGCACAGGAGTTTGCTGCAGCAGCAGCAGCAGCTGCTGCTGCTGCTGCTGCACCCGAAAGGCCCCTGCTGCGTGTGGTGTCTCTGCATGCAAAGGCAAGTCCTCTCGAGCTGCTGCATTTGCTGCTGCTGGGTGCAGATGTTGCTGAAGGCGGTGCTGCTGCTAGCGGCAGCAGCGCAGCAGCAGGAATTGCATGGGCCTTCGCTATCCCCTCACGCGAAGAGGTTGCTGCTGCTGCTGCTGCACTGCAGCAGGAGCAGCATCAGCAGCAGGACGTACAGCTGGCGCTGCAGCTGCTGGAAGCATGGCCGCATCAGAATCTGCAGCTGTACAGACAGCTCAACCTGCTGTCTCCTCGGTATAAGGAAGACGTGCGGTGTATAGACGGGAGACCCAGCAGAAGCAGCAGCGCTGCAGCAGCAAATGAAGAAGCATCTGCAGCAGGGGCAGTCGAGGGTATGGGGCAAGACGGAGAACAGCAGCAGCAGCAGCAGCAGCAGCAGCAGGAGGGATTGGGCTTCCAATCTAGCGTTAGAGACAGCCGCTGCTATCTGCATCATTTGCTGCAGCAGCAGGAACTGAACGGCCCCTCTCTGCTGCAGCAGCATAATGTTGAGTGCTGCCTCGCACTTGCTGCTGCTGTACGCAACAGCATTAGCGAAGGGACAGCTGCTGCTTTCGTACGCTGCTTCCTGCAGACGCAGACACTGACGCCGCAGCAGTATGCTGCTGAGTTCGCTGCAGATGCTGCTGCTCCTGCTGCTGCTCCTGCGGCTGGTGAAGCCGCGGGAGAGCGCGTTAGAGAGGCGCCAGACAGCAGCGAACAACAGCAGCAGCAGCAGCAGCAGCAGCAAAGTGAAGACAAACAACAGGTAGCAGCAACTGTCTCCGCGGCAGCAGCAGACGAAGAGACACAAGGCACGCAGAATAGTGATAATAGCAGCAGCAGCAGCAGCAGCAGCAGCAACACTACCAAGCAGGATACGCCAGCAGCACCAGCAAAGCGCCAGCGGGGCCGCCCGCGTCGCAGCAACAGCAGCGCAGCGGACGACAGCAGCAGCAGCAGCAGCAGCAGCAGCAGCAGCTCTGCAGCAGCTGCTGATAGCAGCAGCAGCAGCACGCATGCGCCATCCAATAAGAGGCGCCGCTTACAGAATTGAGGGAAGCAGTAGCAACAACAGCAGCAGCAAGTGCTGCACAGGAGGGAGAAGCAGCAGCCGCATGAATTGCTGCTGG